TTCCTCGCCATCATCATCACATTATGTGTTTTGAAGCGGTGAACTGAAAGGTCTAGAATTTTACAGCCGTGTGTATGTGTTACACTTTATGCCCGAATTTTAATAGCTCCACCAACTTCAACTTTGACTCTTTGGACATTTGTAGTTTTAGTAGGAGGATTTGGCATCAGCAACAATAAAGCCCGTGATGGACACGAAATGATTGCAGGAATTTCGTTGCCGTTGCAGTCAGTTAAGTTTAAGGTTGTAAAATACATAAAAATAGTGTGAGGAACTATTTCACTCTTGCACCGTTTCTCCTTTTAAATCTGTCACGCCCATCGTTATCCACGATTATGAGGCTTTTTTTACTACTACAACTACGGCACGGAGAGCAAATGGCAGGATAGCTTACCTAATTCGTACTTGGGTCATGATGACAGCATTACTAAATATTTGTATGGTTGGAGTATAAGCGTTGTTGTGTTTTGCTATCTGTTGGAATTTGGGTCTGGTTCGAAAGTAAGGAACACGGGATATGAGGGAGATATGCAATATTTTATTAAAATTATTGGGATAAAAGTGCAGTTGAGTGAATGTACAAGGGAGGTTTCCCAGCGTATGATATCAGATTTTGAGCAAAATTGGTGGCAATTGAGGACAAATTTAATTAGTATGAAATTTGGGAAAGACACGATCTCCCAATGGGCACGTTTGGCAGAGATATTTGCATCCGGAGAGGAGAAAACGCGCAGTAAATTTGGATAGTGTAAAGTTAAGTTTGTCCACTTTAGGACGCGTTTTCTCCTCTTCGAATACAAATATCTCTGCCAAACATGCCCATTGGGAGATCGTGTCTTTTGCAAATTTCATACTAATTAAATTTGTGCCCGATTGACACTAATTTGCCCAAAATCTGAGAGCATACGCTGGGAGACCTCCATTGTAAGTTAATTCCTAAACTATGAAGGTATGTAAGTAAGTGTACGTATATGACGTTTCATTACGTATGGCGGATATCGACTTGCGAAATGTTATCTGTTATCGGCTGGGCTGGGTGTACATATATTTTTTCCTCAGTAATACCGACACTTTGCAGTCATGTAAGTGTTATAAAAAGAGTGAATCATAATATGCAAATGGTAAACAGTAAGGTGCATATCTAAACTAAACTAAACTGAACTTTATAGTCGAGAGATCGGCTCCGTGTTATTGTTGTAATTGATTTACGATTAATAACGCATTACTCATCCATCGTGATTCTAGTTCAAGTCTGGGTTCGCATGAAAAATGAAAACCTCGTCGTCGCGCCAATGTTGTAATAAGTCGTTAAATTGGCGTGTCATGTGCTCAAGAATTATTTGGCCGTGATTTTATATTATTTTGACACTCTAGAACAGTTCCAATTGTGGATGTGCACTCATTTTCTGTGTAAAGTTTGGACAATTTTTATAATCTTGTTTTTATTTGGTGAACCATAATTTATGCTGCAAGCACAGCTCATTTCCATTTCTATGCCCATCTGAGGAAAAAAGGAGTCAAAAGCCGGTAACTACTATACCAAAGTCATTGGCAGCGGAAGCGGGGGGACAGGGGGACATTATCCTCCCAGAAATTCAGAAAAATTTAGAAAAATCCAATCTTCCCCTTGTCCTCCTACCCCACAATGAAAATGACCCCCTATGCCCCCCACCTTCCGCCGCCACTGACCAAACTTGAACTTGTCATAGATGATGCTAGATGAGTGAGTAGTTGGCTAGTTGGTTGGTAGTGGTTTTGGATAAGATTTGCCGATTTCCGACCACTCATGAACCGTCGTCTAGTCGGAAAATTCGCGTCTTTGATCAACTGAGGTGAATTTGACAGGCTAATTCTACGTCTGCGGAAACAATCGAGGAAAAAGATGAGTTTGAGATTTTCTAAATATCTGCCTTCCCAGAATGAAGGCATGATGATGACCTAAGTCTTAATTAAGGCAATAGCTCAAGTTGACTAGGTCGCCAGGCTAGAAGAGAATGAAGCTAAGCTATTTAACCGTAAATTCATCGATTAGTTGGTTCAGTCTGTAAAAATCGGTGCAATTAAGAAGTACGGTTGATACATAGTGGGATCATTTGCTTGTTTCAGGTACGGATCCAGTTAAATTTTACTTACCTATTTATAAATCTCGTGGTTTACAAGATTTAAAACGCTAAAATTAGATTGGGAATTCCAAAATCCGGTAGCATTGGTTAAATAAAAAATGCAGAGACAATTTAATGTGGCCATTAAAGGAGGATGGGTATGGGTATTGTAAATAAGTAAGTACATAGTTTGGTTGGGCAGAGGAGTGTGGCAAAAAGTAGTATGCAAATGAGACAGGGTGTGTACAGCTTGGAAGAAGGAACTCCCTGTTACTTATTTTATTTGTACGGATCAAGAATGAATCCAATGATGAGAATGATTTAGTGTCTCATTATTATTATATTATTATTATCATCCTTTGGTCGGTTAGGAGGAGGATAAAATGCAGGATATTCCCCGTCAGTCAGGTGCAAATTTAGCATTGAGACAGAAATCGTAAGAGCAGTGGCTGCGGAAGGGTGGGTGTGGACAGAGGGACAATGTCCCCACGGTTGTTCGATGTCCCCATCATCTTATATAAAGAAACGAAGTACAGTGGCCGCGGAAGCTTAGGGACAATGTCCCCACGGTTATTCGATGTCTCCATAATCTCCCCATCTTATATAAACCCCTCCCTCCCCCATCCTACAGTGTTAATGTCCCCACAGCTTCCGCGGCCACTGCGTAAGAGGAATACATATCACCTTTTTTTAAAGAGATGAGACGGATTCGTCGTCCACATTTTAGTGGCAGTTTTATGCCTGTGTTATTTTATTGTGCTACTCCCTCCCCCCACTGCTGGCCAGGCCACTGACTGTGCTGGGACCCGTGTGACCATGAATGTGCATGTTGCATTTTATGTATGTATTTGATCCATCGCATCCTTTTGGCAACCTAAGAAGATATCACGACAAACAAACAATACGTCGTCGGATAACATTACCAAATAATCATCCGGGATTTTTTAAGTTCCATTATGATAGCGAGTCTCCTTATTTACGAATGAGAGTCATACAGGGGCCGCGGAAGGGTGTGGACAGAGGGACAATGTCCCCACGGTTGTTCGATGTCCGCATCATCTTAAATAAACTCTTTCCTCCCCTATCCTATAATGTTGATGTCCCCACGGCACGGCTTCCGCGGCCACTGCTCATACAAACTTATGTACAAAGTCGAAGGGTGTGCAGTTAGTCGGCTGCTATTGTTACCCAGAATCTTGACTTTTCGCACATATATCGCTTCATTTTTTACATAAGTTTTTGCATAGTATTAAGTTTCGTGACATATCTGCCAACGGGATTACCACGAGTTTTTGTGCGGTATAAACGCATTTCAATGTTTAATTTCTGTTTGGGAAAGTAAATCATATGAAAAGAATTGGTTTGGCTTTTTGAGACTTGGGAAGACCAAAAACTGAGCGAGCACATTTCTTCTTGTTGGATTGGAGTCCAGCAGTGTTTTTAAATGTACACATTAAGTTTTATTTCATGGTGATTTCATTTTCACATGAAAGCTTGAGTCTGTTTGCATTTTGAAGATCTCTTGTTTTGTTGATCTCATTGTCTCTGCCAGAATTGGGGGTATTTCCGCACAAATCTCTCCCAGGGCGTTTTATCCCATTCCGTTTTATCCCATTTTGTGTATACTTAATACACCTTTGGTTTCCAGGCTGTTCAAAATAAATGAAGACTCACTACGCGATGACGGGCCGTATTTAGTTAAATAGAAGTTGGCTGGTTCCTTTGTGGTGGTGATATTATTAAACCGTGGAATAATCGCTGGCTGGGCTTTATTTCACCTTTAGATTAGGCTTGGTTGGAGAGGTTGCGGTAGTTGTATGTATTTTAGACCAGATTTTGGCCTGACTTATGGATAAGTAAAGGTGCAAGGATGGTGTCGGTCGGTTGGTTGTAATTATTACATAGTCAACAGTGCATACATACATATTTTTGGGGTACAAACGTACAGTCTGAATAAGGCAACTCTCTGTTAGGTTTTAAGTCCTGAGGGGGTGAAGTCTCTTAAATTATAATGAAATCCAATATCATAGTTCCGAGGAAGATGTCAAGGTGAACATTTGTAATTGCAAAAGTTTGACTATTTTGAGTAACTCTCATGAATAAGATAAGTCCGATCTCAGGTGGTTAACTAAACTACTCGAATTCTTAGTTTAATACGAATGCATAAAATTAAATATGTTTGCTTGCAACAATGAAATTTTGCAGTGGAATTGCTACCATGATTAAGATTAGTACATACATAAACTTGCGGTTTTTAGATAGAATTTTGCCTTTTACTTATTAATGAATGAAGAGGTCGGGTGTTGAATGGGTTTGGAAAAGTGAAAAGGATATCGTATCGTAGATATCCTTGGGTTATAATAGCGCTATTTTGAATCATTGTAGAGGAGCAGAAGGAATGAAGATGACGTTTAATACGTGGATTAATAATAATACATACTTGGTTATACTTTTCGGACTTATTTATGAATTAGACACGCTTGTCTGTTACCTTTAACCTGCAAAAGTAGAAGGTTAATTGAATGAAATTACACGATAAGGAAGAAGAAGAAGAAGACGAGGTACATACGCATTTTGCTGTGGGTGCATCTTCCCTCAAGCTGAGCTATCTCGTTTTCCATCTCGCAAAGTTGGCAGGCAGGCAGGAAATGAAATGGATTTGCTACTTGCACCCAATTTACCTACCTATGTAGAATTTTGCACTATTATTCTTTGTATGAAGTAAAATTGCAGACCGGGTTTAAAAAATGGTTCATTCATAAAAACCCGAATGAATGAGGGGATGGATTAAGGCATATATATGTAATCCCCGCCGATAATTATCCCGACATCATATGCCATGTTGATTAATTAATTATTTAATTAATTAATTAGTTAACTGACTTTTTTTATTAACAGGGAGATCACTTCTGGCTCGGAGGAGACGGACAAAAAGTTCGGTGCTACTAAACACTCAATGGACGAGAAGAATGACTTCATTCCTCTACACGTTTGCCATCCTGCTCGTCACCTGCCTGTCACATCTTCCCGTGTCATGTAAGTCAAACTTGGTATTATGCATTATTATTTCATTACGTGGCATGTGCAGTGGCCGCGGAAGCTGTGGGGACATGTGGGGACATATTTAATGTTTCTTGAGTAAAGTAGCGTTCAAATATTTTAAAAAATTTGCAGAAAAATTTGTCGAAAAAGGGACTAAACAGGAGTCGTACAAAATGTGGGGACATTAATGTTAACAGGGGAGGGAGGGGTTTGTGTAACATCGAATAATCGTGGGGGTATTGTCCCCACCCTTCCGCGGCCACTGGTCGACATGTGCATAGCTTGTGCATGTTATAAACGCTGTCTGATGCAATCTGCTTATTACGTCAAGGATAAACATTGCCTCGTTATCATGGAATTTGACGACATCTAAACCATTTCAAGGCACGATTGACATAACGCTGAACATAACGCATGTCACTCGTGAGAACGGGGTGTAGTCTTCAAACATAAGTATTAGTGCAAACTCATGAAGCACAACGGATAAAAAATGCTTATGAATCCGTACCTGTACTCACAGTGAGATTGATATTATTGGAGTGCGTCTGATTTTGTGGTGCAATTCGAATTTTGAAAACATCTGCATATTGAACAGTGCCGGCGGAAGCGTGGGGACATTAGCGGGAGGGAGAGGGTTAGATGATGGGGGCATCGAATAACCCTGGGGAAATTGTCCCTCTGTCCCCACCCTTCCGCGGTTACTGAATGCATCTAACTCCACGTCCGCCTACCTACCTGCTCCAATTTGTCGAGTTAAACTATGCACCGCGATTATTATTATGCATGCATAATTTGTTACAAGTTCTGCTCGAAAGAAGTCTCTCTCTGGAGCTTTCTTACAAATAAAATAAGCAATGAGCGTGAACCCCAAGAAGAGATGAAGGCCGTCGTGCGGTTGGTCGGCGTCTTGCGTCTTTTTTTGTGTCCAAAAGAAGTATCCATATTCCTTAAAAATCATATCAACAAACTGCCTGCCTCGCTTGACGGATGTACATAGTACACACAGATTTATAAGGATATGTTGGATATCTTGGCCTGTAAAAAATCTGGAAGATTTCGTAGTCCCTGCTGGATACGGTTATTAAATCCTTTAACGGCGGATGGAGAGAGTGTTGTCGGTCGGTAAGTCCTGATAACTGAACGCGTGCCGTTTTCATCGGTGGGTTTTTTTAAAGGATTTTATTTTTTGTCACGGGTACTGAAATCGTAGGAAGACTTGCTTGGGTACTTTTATTTTACATGGGGAGACTCATGCATGCATGCCTTGTGCAAATATGTCACAATAAATTATTGACGTGATATTAAATGCCTAGTGATCCGACACGGCTCTAATTTGCCGTACAGGCTGCTTGATCATGCCTCTTAAACGGAAGTCTTTGATATGCATTAAGATTTATTGGGGAGCAGGATTACAGAAGGAGTGGGAGAGGGCTGCTTATTGTGAGCGTTTTGTCCGTCTGTCCGGCAGGATATCTATCGAGAACGTAATTAAACGCGGTTTATGCCGATGCGTTTCTGATTTTTAGTTTTCGGTCGAGTTCGAAAATGGGGTCCCTTTGGGGTCAAGGTCAAGGTGACCTCTTGGCGCCAAATTGGACCTTAATTTGCATATGTGATGTTATTTTAAAGGACAAATTTGACCTCAAATTCAGCGTCGTCAGTATTTTTTGACCTCGTGACCGTGACGAGGAGATCAAAAAATGCATAATTGCCATATATATGTTCATCTTAAAGGACATATCACTCGCTCTGACGCTACTTCTTTACATTCGTTTTCAAGGGTTTATTACAGCTCGGTTGGGCTCAATTCGTGCACACGACCCAGTAAAATTATTTATCGTATTTTATTTTATTTTATTTTATGGTTGTGTTGTTGTATGCATTAGAAATTCAAATCTGTGTGATTTCATTTCACCGCATCTGCACTGCACAAGGATGTAGATTTGCCTATAGCTCTTATTCCCTGCTGGTTGACGGAACGTGAGAGCTATTATTATTATTCAGGAGGCGGCAGGGTCGCCTGTCCCAATTCGGTTCGGGTTGAATGCTATCGGCAGGTGAAACTTACGTAAACCAGTCGTCTCTCTGGATGGTTTACATTTTGGAGTGATTTTATGTTACAGGTGATTCTCTTTTTTTGCGTTAACTCAGCTCAGGTCTGGCTTGGTCTTGAATAATTTATTTATCAGCGTAACAGAAATTGGTTTAGTGTGCGTGAATACGTTCCAGATTTTAGTCTGGATATGTAAATATTTTTTGGCATTGCGGAATGCGTGACGAATTAAGTGCATGCAAAAATTGGGGATAATTAGTAATAATGCTGTCATTCTGTGCCAATTAATTCATTTCGGACTGGATGTCTGGGTTGAATTCTGGTTTGTCTTATACCGTGCACGATGTAATTAGGTTGGGTTACATATTCCATCTAGAAAACAATGGATAGGGAGATGCACCATTTAAGATAAGATCATGATGATTGTGTAGAGATAAATCATGCTTTCATTTGAATTTTTTAGTCGTATATGCATGCGATTCTCCTCAAAAGTCTGGAAACTGCATGCTTTCCCAGCAAATTGGCTAGGGTTTTACATGCATAAATGTAACTGCATGAACATGGTCTACATTTGGGTAATAGTTGGTTGCCAATTAGGAAAATAAGAGGCGAAATGTTGATACTTTCCCAAAATGGGATTGAAATTTATGGGATATTTTATAAAAAAGGAGAGAAGAAGAGTGCGTTTGAAAATTATTGCGTGTGGTACTCAAGTCTCAATGTCAAGTAGAATATGCATGTTCATATTTACTATCCGGTCTGTAGAGATTGCTTATTTCCTTCCCTCCTCCTCGTCTGGAAAATATTGGTGGGTGCAAAAACTCATGTATTATTTGCAGTGTGTGGCTGTTAGTTAATGCCTGAAATTGTTTATCCAGCCAGAGTGTGGATCCAATAATCAAATCCATTTATTGTGTCGCCTGACAAACAAGCCGAGCAACGCGGTAATAAATTGCGACCCATCTCTAATCCACTTAAGTTTGTTTGTGCGATTGAAATCAGACCGAGCATAAATATTTCCTCACTTGAAAAGTGAAGAGCTTTGTGTGCGTAAAATGATGTCTCATAGATATTAAAATATTTGTGGTGGCTAAATTTATGCATGTTTGACACCCCTCCTGGCTGGCTGGATGGAGGGATGCAATGAAATGAATGTGTCGGCATTTCATATTTAAATTTTTTTTACTGGATGACTAGCTGGCTGGGGTAGAGATGTGAATATTTATTTATGTCTGCTACTGAATATCTTCTACTCTGTGAGGGAGGGCTAACATAAACTGCGGGTGAGCAATCAAACAATTTTCGAATACAAATTACCGAGCACGACATAACTGATTCAGTTGTCACCAAGAAATAACTGTTGTGACAGCGAGGGGATGCGAGGCCTATTTTCAATATTTCATCGCAACCATATCCCTATAATTTATGGGATGAGGAGTTCAAATTCAAATACGGGAGAGTTGCGAATGGTCGGTTGTTTAAAGACGGAGGGATGCAATGTGATATTAATGTAACGGATTTAAATATGTACGTTATGTGCGGAGGGATATAGTGGCCGCGGAAGCGTGGGGACATCTGGGGACATTGTGATTGTAGGATAGGGGAGTGAAGATTTTATATACAGTCAAGAGCAAAACTTTACGACATATGGAAGAGACTTTTGGGACATGTTATTCAAATGGGGAATTAAAGGCCGTAAAGTTTTGCACCGCGTACCTTTCCGAATAATTTTTTTAACGCTGTGATATAATTTTTATTGAATAAAGCGTGCAAAAGTAGGGGGTGACGTGGTAAATTATTTTTGTCGCCGAATTTTTTTCAAGGAACTACAAGGAATTGAAAGAATTAATTTTGGAAGAGACTTTTGGGACAACACATTGTGCTTATGGCTGTCCCAAAAGTCTCTTCCAAAATTAATTCTTTCAATTCCTTGTAGTTCCTTGAAAAAAATTCGGCGACAAAAATAATTTACCACGTCACCCCCTACTTTTGCACGCTTTATTCAATAAAAATTATATCACAGCGTTAAAAAAATTATTCGGAAAGGTACGCGGTGCAAAACTTTACGGCCTTTAATTCCCCATTTGAATAACATGTCCCAAAAGTCTCTTCCATATGTCGTAAAGTTTTGCTCTTGACTGTAGCATGAACGAATGATATGGACATCGAATAAGCGTGGGGTCATTGTCCCTCCGTCCCCTCAAGCTTCCGCGGCCACTGGTGGTCTAATGCGTATCTATGTAGATGCGGTTGTTTGGTAAAGAAGAAGTGGTGACTTTTAAAAAATCTAGGAGGATGGGTCTCCTGGAAGTTATGGGGTTGAAGATGAGTGCATTTCGTGTCATCTAAAAACAGATGACTGTCATCTCTCCTTTCTGAATAACTCTTCATCATCTTCATCCCCACGAGTTGAGGAGGAAGGAATACGTATGTATGTAAAGAAGCCAGTGGGGTGGGCAGTGGCCGCGGAAGAGTGGGGACAATTTCCCCAGGATTATTCAATGTCTTTGTCATCTGTCCATGTTATATAAACCCCTCACTCCCCTGTTAATGCCCCCAGATGTCCCCTCACCGCTTCCGCGGCCAGTGGGGGTGTTGTCTGCCCTGTTATGACGGGTGGACTGGACCGGTGGCTTGGAGTGGATGATGATGACGCTGGATATTTTTAAGGATTCTGCTGGACTGGAATAAAGATTTATTTCCCTGACACATCGACTGGTTTGAATGTCTTTATTGTATAGATTTGACTCCCAAATTTGAATGGAATCGTGGGATTTATTTGATCCGAGAAAGTATGTGACATGTGAGAGAAGAATCAGTGGAGGCGGAGGTGGTGATCAAAGCCGAGATTAGATCAGATCACTGATGCGTATTGATTGTTCACTTTTAACTTTCGACTCGTCGTCTTCGACACCAGATTTTGTTGGCATTGGAATAATGC